GCTCCTGCAAGTGGTTGCTCTGGAATTTAATAACAAATATCCTTCGGTTGTTGCCAAGCCCCATGTCAGTGCGGTGGTTGAACTGCAACGCGCCGCCTTTTAAGTCAGCCATAGGCAAGCGGCTTACAGCCTGCTGAGAGCTGGACTAGGGAACTTACAGGGCGAGACTCGATTCCTCCTTCTTCAAGAGCCCCCAGAAGTGGCATATCTCTAAAAGTAGAGAAGCCAGCTTCTCCAGATCCCCCAAGGATTAAAAGGAATTCATCTTAAGAAACGTCTTAAGTTGCAGCCCATCTTGTGGGAACGATGGGAAGAGGCTGGCAGGGAGCCTACAAAGGCTTGTATGTTACTAGTGTGTCAGAGCACCACCTAGTAAAGTGCAGTGAACAAAAGTTTGGCCCAAAGAAGCCCACAATTAAAGAGCCAAGCAAACATAATGCAACCAAGTCCTAAAGCAACTTACAGGCTCAGTGCCAATACCAACTTGGTAGGTATACAGATAAATACATGATTCGCTCGGGGTGTTGCTAAGCGTTCATACAAGGAGCCAGAGCAAATACCCCTGAGAGTACACTTAACAGCGAGTTAAGTGGTTTTGTTTGAGCCTTAAGTGGAATAGCCACAACGCCCAAGAATTCCCACCCCCAAGCCAGCATACAAACTATGGCTCACTATGCTGGACAGTTTGTCCTCGAGCCACATTGCCTCTGCTGTTGGACTTGCCTGTTTAGAAGATTTGATAAGGATGGCTTTCCCAAATGTGCTACAGTGTCACTAAGCCACCAAAGAAAGCAATCCTAGAGAGAGACCATGGGTATATAGAATCATAAAATGTGCTGAATTGGAAGACACTCATCAGGATCATCAAGTCCAACTCCTGGCCCAGCACAGGACACCCCAGTAATCCCACCATGTGCCTGACAGCACTGTCCAAACACTCCTTGAACTCAGACAGGCTTGGTGCTGTAACCACTGCCCTGGGAAGCCTGTACCAGTGCTCGATCAGCCTCTGGGGGAAGAACATTTCCCTGATAACTAATCTAAATCTTCCCTGACACAGCTTTATGTCATTTCCTTGACTCTGGTGACAGTACTGGCTTAGGGGAGAATGTCTGAAAGGCAGAGATGTGTTTGGACAAGTGCAGTAAGTTCCCTGCTCTGTGCTGCTTCCAACTGCAACAGCTCAGTACAAGCAGCTTCTGTCTTGTACAGCTGTGACCTGCCCACCATACTCAGAGGTTCTTCATTAAACCCTTTTCAATTTACATCACAAAGAGCAAGGACTGCACACTACAAGATACATCCCAACTACTGTATTGAGATAATATTCAGCCTAAATGGCTCTTCTGCACTGGACTAGAGGCAGTGACTGAAAAAAAAGTCTTTCCATTGGCACAGCTGCCTGAGCAGGCAGTTACCTGCAGCCTCTGAAGGCAGTAAGCACCACAATGCCTCCCTCGAGAGGAAAAGGTTAATTTCCATTGTCTTGAATACTGAAAGCAGACAACTGCCAGTCCTTGACAACATATAGATCCAGAAATCTTTTCTTTCTCCTAAAGACTTGCAAAAGCTTCACAGATTCCAACAAAATCCTTTCAGTACACAAAGGAACAGCTTTTTTCATGCATTACAGAGGACATGTAGAATTTCTTCAAGAGTCATCACCAAATAATAATGTAAGAAAAATATACTAAGCCAGGTAATGGCTTGAACTGGAATGCATTTAAAGATATTTATACATCAAAGAACCTACTGAGAAAATAATCTAATTCCAAACACATTTACTCTTAATTGAAAACACATGCTGTTTTACTGGTGACCCAAGTTCTCTTCCTTACAATGGAGCAGACAAACTCCTTTCAAGACAAAGCCTCTGTCAAAGGATGTTCCGCATCATTGCTAGCTTTTCTGGTGTTGCAAGATGCCCAATTACAGAAATCGAACCTTGTACAAAACACTCTGAAAAAGATCAACAAAATAGGTAGCCAGTGCCTTGAGGCAGTGCAGAGCCACCTGAGGATGGGAGCTCAGAGAAAAATGATACCAACTGACACTACTGCCCCCCTGAAAACATCTGCCCACCTAATGATCCAAACCTGCTCAAACTGGGCAAGGAGAGTTGCTCTAACTGCACAGGTCAGGGCCTAAGCACCAAAGCTGAAGGCTGCTTGTTTGGTTTATATTTCCAGGACTGAATTCAAGGCTGGCTTCTATACTGTTATGCCTGCTGACACCAGGTTCAACCTGATTTAAGCAGCCTTCAGAGTGAAACCAGGAGATTGCTGAGGAAGGAAAATGGAAGATCTGTCCTCTAGAGCCAATATTGTTTGTCCAAAGTCAGAAGATAATTGCTTATTTCAAGAAAGGGTGATGCGAGTGCGGTTTCATCAGCAGATGTAGGACTCAAGGAAAGCAGCTGATGAGGGCTCAGTGACAGGCAGAACCTTTTAAGTTCAGTTTTTATGTCCTCCTTGAAGTCACCACAGAACTTGAAAGGCAGCCTTAAGGAGCAGACACCACATTGAGTCAGAGAAAACAGCAGGCAATGGAGCAGCTCCCAGCCAAGTGTTGCACGTCAGCCACCCACTAGAAATGGGTTGCACTACGGTGTTTTACTTGGACAGACTGAGAAATTCTCTGGCAGTAGATACACCTGCTTTGTGGCTGCTCATGCCAGTGAAACAGCCAAAGAAGCGATCCAGGATCCAAGAATAAGCCTTGAGATGGCAACTCTTGGTAATGTAACTTCAAATAGTTTGCAAGACCTTTCTGCACTGTTTATACATCACCAAACTGCCAAAATAAAAAAGAAACAGGATATGTCACAGCCCGGCATTTCACAGAAGAGCAGCATTCTGCAAAAAAATGGAAGGGAACAAAATCATAATCCACAGAGGCATAAGAGAGGACAGCAACAGATCAGCAACCGGTCCTAACAAAGACTTCCTGATACTCCCAGGTAACAGGGAATTGTCTGGCAGACAGGCACATTGCCTGGTGAGGAGGCTGTGATGTTGCCAGGTTGCTGTTAGCTCTAGTTAATCCCAGGTACCAGAAAGACTGCACTGACTGACACCAGGAATACTCAGCTTTGCAGCTGAAGCTGGATTCATGGCTGTAAAAAGCCCACAACAGACACAAGGAAACCATACAAATGCTTGGGCAAGGCAGAGTCTAACTGATGGCCCAGACAGCTGTCAATAGCTGCAGGAACAAGAGCTGAGAGAGGCTTAGTCCTCAACCCATCATTCCCCTCATCTATCACTTCATTGTCTAGGAACTCAAAGATGCTCTTTCCTCCTGCCTCAAATCTCGTTAATAGCCAGAGCCTCTCCAATGAAAGGTCTGGCAGAGCAGGAGCAGACTGTGACTGATCAGTAACGTCAGGGCTGAGGCCTTCTGAAATTGCAGGCAAGGAGCAATGGTACTTGCTGGTTTAATTCCAGTGCTCTCCAGTGTTGGTAGCTACATGAGGAAGAAGGCACAGGGTATAAAAACAGATGGAAAGAAAGTTCATAAGAATTAAAATCACAGGATTTCAGAAGGATTTTATAAGTAATTAATTTATATCTAGTATTTGTTGCCACACTGCAGAACCACCAATTGAGACTGTTTTCTCTGCTCTGTTTACAATTCTTTAATAAAAGGGATAGATTTGCTGAGCACAAGGCAGAGAGCTTCCAGATCCAGAAGGGAGACATCAATACAGCTCACAAAAACTTCTTGGTACAAATGAGACAAATGAGAGCACATGAAAATTGTGCTGTAGACCCTAGAGGAAAGTTCCCACATTCAAATATGCCCATATAACCATACCTTTGCATACCTGGTAGTGCTGCAGAAAGGATTACTCCCTGTCCACTCCAAATACCACCCTAAGGACAGGGATCTTAACAATTTTTAGAAGACAAGTTGCACAGAGTAAAAAAACCAAAAAAACTAAACAAGTGTTCAGAAATTTTTGAATCAAAATTTCAAGGAATAGTATGAAATTGTAGCAGCTGTAGATTTTTATGC